CTGGGCTTTTACTTAATGAGATAAACAGGATCAGGATCACACTTACCAACACACCATTGTTTTTCAAACATGCAGCAACGTGTTGGAGGAAAGGAGGCCGAACAGCATCAAAAACAACATTCTGTTTGTCCTAGCCTGGCTACCTTTCAAAACGATAAACATCTATGAGCGGCACGCTTATCTTGTTTTAGCACCTATTTGTGTCAAATCCCAAACCCACAGGCAGGAGGGAGTCTGAGCACCACCTCGAGTGAAGCCTCTGGGAAGGAGAAATCAGAAGAGCGCAGTGAGCTTGGATTAAAGCCAGGTGCAAAGGCTGCCATTCTTTATTAGGAGTTACTATCCTTCCTCCAGCCCTCCTCACTGTCTCTGTGCCTCCTTGTTTCTCCCTGTGGACCAACTGATGGGAGTTGACACTTGCCTCAGTCCCTGAAGCTGAATGCACTGAGCCTGTTCTGAGCCCCTCTTGTTTCCTAACCTTCAGGATTGGTCTCCTTCCTCCTACTTATGGACCTAATGGTTCTGCCCACCTTGCTTAATTCACAGGATGTACGGTTTCACCTCAGTGATGGTAAAATCCCTCCATTGGGGTAGCGATCATAAAACCATACGTTTAACAGTAAAGAAGGGAATCATCTTTAACTTTAGGGTTTTTTCATAACTTTTAATCCCTAAAAAACTGCATAATAACAGGTTTGCCCCTAAACTAAAGAACAGGTCTTCAGTACAAACAAAAGATGGACCGGACTCTGGTGTTGAAGGCGGCTGAGATCATGGATTGAGCTTTTGACTTTCTGTAATGGTTTAGCCTGAGGACCCAGACATTCAGCCACAACACAGACGTATCACACTCATTTAGGACAGGAGAAACATCTTGTAGTTCTGTGTTCCTCTTGGGTCTGTACAGGATTTCTCTGTGGGTTATTTCACACAAACATGTTCGAATATGTTCTTCCTGCTCCGTTTAGATACTTCACGAAGCTGAGTCAGTCCAGCAACGTGATTCTAACCGCTGATAGGCTAGGGGGTGAAGTTACTGGTTTCCCCTGAGTTATTTTCTTTCTGATTGATCAAACTGCACATGTCAGGATGTCCTTTTATTGTAGGCAGTCTGAGGCACACCTATACATTATTCATGCTGTGTAATCAGACCCTTGATATGTCACACATGTGAGGTGGTATGGTTAAAGGAAAAGTGCTCACTAACACATGTAGACAGATTTCAGAACAATATTTGAGAGTCATGGGTGTTCCCTACATAACAATATTTTGCTATCATTAATTCTGGAATTCTCCAGAACTCCTGGGTGGCTAGTCCGCCTCTGGTAGAATTGCCTTTAACATGCCTTGTCTCATGTGTGAATGTCAGCTGGTGTAGGTTTGCTTTGAACCATTCATTTCGATGGGTTAATCAACTCAGTACTGGGAAGATATTAAAGAAGAAAAAAGACCAGGGGCCTCATTTATAAAACTTTGCGTAGAATCCTTTCTAAAGCTCTACGTAGGCTCAGCAGATAGAACATTACCAACCCAACTGGACATGTATAACTATATCTCTGTTACATTCATCCTATAAATGTGCTCAGGTGGTTTCTGATCACATCCCGCGTCCTACACACCCACTTTCAGCCATAAACAGTCAATGCAAAAGTCCTTAGGAATATTCCATAAATACATCAGCTTGCTGATCTTTGCCATTTCACAGATAACCATGGCAACCGAGAGGGTTGAAAAATGCTATTTCACTGAGACTGTTAACAAGGTGCTTGGAGGAAAGGAAAAGTGTGTGCACGTGTGTGCGTGCACATGTGAGGGTTTCAAGTCTGTAAATGTAACCTAAATTCAACTTGTTACCATCTTGCCGGCTGAGCTGTCAGTTTCCCCGTCTCCGATTCTTATGCCAGGGTCTAAGTTTTCTTAAAGTTTCTGTGGAGTTTTTGTTCATAAATGATATAGTTAGCTTAGAAAATGACTCTTGACTATTTCCAGAGTCTGTTTACTGTGTAAGTGAGCTTTAAAAGTGAATCCCCAGGACAGAATCACTGTAGTTCTTTTCTTTCTAGAACTGTTTTGTTTCGTGACCGTCCAGAATTGAAATCAAGACTCATGACATGTTAAAATTCCACTGCGTTCACCTGCGACACAGAGGAAATAAGAATCACCTGCCCACATAACTTTCAGAGCTTTTTCTCTTTTGTAGTTTTACATGTTTATATGTATGAATGCATGCAAAATAGTAATTTTTCCAATCTTGGTCATGTTTTCCTCAGACATCACAGCGAAGGAGTTCCTTGAGCTGAGGGGAAAACAGCGCAGCCGCTACGAACTGCTCGTGGACTTCCTGTCGGAGATGCTCTCCGTTCCACCTGACGGAGTCAACATCTTCAGCCTAATGGATGTGAGAGAACGAATGCTGGATGTCCGCTTTGCTGTGCACGGTGGCCCTTCCTTCCTCCAGCCAGAGAAGATGCATGGTTATTTGGCGGCCCACAAACAAAAGGTAGATCAGCCTTTGTGCTACATAGCCTTATGCCTCCATATTGAATTGTCAGGTCTACACAATAAAAACCTGCCAACGTCATAGTTCTGTTGGAAACTGCACTCGGTTCTGTTCTTTAGATGTATTGTTTTATTAGTTTTAATAAATCAGCAGCATATTATTATTTCAAACACGTTATCAAGTAATAAAGTGTTGATCAGGGATGCTCACCAGCAGGGAAATCTTTCAATTCAAATATTGGGAGTTTAACCCCACCACTCTGCCACATGCTAAAGTGCCGTTGGGCAATACACGGTCTCACCAGAACTCTTCATGCAGTGCACTCTCAAAGTCTTAATGGAACTATCACGTGTAACGGTGAGCCCATTACAATAATAACCCTCTGTTGTTCACTTTAATCAGCACATCTGCAGTGGTCTCTAGTACGAATGCCGTGAGCCTCGTACTTTGGGTACAAAAAGCCCAGGGGCCTCATTTATCAAGCTAGCTTACACACAAAACGGGGTCGGAAAACAGCGTAAACAACTTTCCACGCAAACTTTGGGATTTATGAAAGAAAACTTAGCGGAAAAATGTGCGCAACTTTAAGTTGATTAAGGACCTGGCTTACGCACACGTTGGACATGGAGAGCAGCTGCAGTGCTGCTGCAGCATTGTCACTTGTACTGCTTCGTTTTCACACAGAACAAGACCCCCCCCCCCCCCCCCCCCCACACACACACACACACACACACACAGCCTGAAGCGCAGAATACGGAGTACAGAATATCAGCAGCGGGACAGATTGAGACAGAATGCCATGCATCTGTGACGGTGTGTGTCCTGTCACTGTGACCTGATTGATCATGTGCCCTGGCTAGTTGAACAGGGGAGATCTCTGTTTGGGTGACTGGTTAGCATGCGTGACTTTCACCCGGGAGTCTGGGGATCGAATCCCGATTGGATAATTTTTTAAATATCCGCCACAGATCTCTCTGAATAACTCAGCATTGACGGCTTCAGCAACGCTGTGCCACTCCGTGGATTTTCTCTTATTTGTTTTGCAAAAGCACTTCCTTTCATTTCTCCACCTCACCCACAAGTACCTCAATTTCTGCTTCTGTAAAATTGCGCTTCTTCCTTGATCTGCCTTGATCTGCGGTCGCCATGTCATTGGCGGAGCGCTGCTACAGCCGGCTTATGTATATGCATGAGATCCACAAGACACTTTGCATTGACTATTTATGGCAGTAAGTGGGCGTGGTGAGGGCGGGATGTGACTAAAATGCAGCTGAGAACCTTTCTAGATAGTTTCTAATTCATAAAGCGGAGATTGCGTGCAGCTGTGGGTACTCCATGTTTGATAGATCACAAACCTGCTTGGCGTAAGTACATTTTTTTTGCAGAGCTTAAGTACAGTTTTAGTAACGATTCTACGCAATGTTTGATGAAGGAGACCCCAGGTGTGCCTGTTTCATCTAACAGATCTAACAGATTGCCAAATCAGAGGTGAGCTTCAGACGACAGGATTTGAGTCTTATTTCCTGATATTTGGACATCTCACCTTAGACTTGCTAACAACAACATGACTCTACCACACTGACTCCATTTACTTTGTGACATCATTGTTTTATCTCCACAAATAACACAAGCCTGGGGAAGTGTGGTACAGTTGCCAGTGCTAACAGTCAGCTTTTACTACTTAAACTAACAGCCTTCCTCTTTGTGAGTCAAGATGGGTGAGTCCATGAACATTAACTCATTCACTGCCAACTGTTTCCTGATCAGTAAAGCCCTTCGCTGGCAGCGTTTCTCAGCATTTTTGCTGTTTTTTTAAAGTCACAGAACGTTGCGCGCTAGGATGATGTCGACGCCAAACCAACCAAAGCAAAGCGAAGACTCACCTCTAACATCAGGATGAATCCGTGCATTTTGAGCTTTATCCGTTCTTTCGTAATCTGTTGTTGAATTGTGATCGGCAGAAGCTTTTCCGGTTCGCGAATCACTTTTTGCACAGCAGCGGCCCCAAACCATCTCCTAACACATGGATGTTCTGCTTCCTGGTCACGTGACATGTGACGTATGCGGATGGAGATCGGCTTTAGAGCTGGGATGTTTGTTCTTACGGTGCGGGGGCTCGCTCAGACGCCCACACAGTAAAAAAAAAGTGCAAATGACGACTTTAGTCGTCAGTGGCAGTGAATGAGTTAAGTGACAGTGTGACGTAGATCTGTTATGATTTTCAAATTCTAGAGTTTCACCGTCTATTTTCTATCAGAAGCTAGTGCAGGAGATAGGTGTAGGAGACTATTTTCATGTTCGGCCTGTATGAAAGCATTCAAATGTGTTTTCGTTTTTTCTGTGAACTACACATGTAAAAGACAAAGTAGTAAAAATGTAATTCAAGATCATTATAATAATAATTCAAATACAGTAATATTAAGGTAATTTTAATATATCATGTTAAACTTTTTCATTGAGACATCACATTTTTTCTATATGTTTTGCTTATTCAAAATCAGATAAGGCTTCATTTGGATTTACAAACTGAAGTATGTTCTTGAACAGGGGTCGGCAACCTTTACCCATCAAAGAGCCATCATTACCCATTTCCCACAGTAAAGAAGACACTGCGAGCCATAGCAGCCGCGGCGTTGTGGGTGGGCCTACTGGGCCTGGCCCCACCCACTTGCTTTTAGGCCCACCCTAAGACAACCAAGAGCTGCTTAAACCGATCACTACAGGTGACAGCAACCAATACCAATCGCTCATGTACGTCAAAGTTATCTTTCAACAGAAAATAATCAATAAAACAAAATTGATCCAGAAGTTGTAGATCGTCTAGCCAACTATCCTTCCCCATGGATCCATCTGCCTGTAGCAGCATCTGATCACTGTTTTTTTTTTTCACATATTTTATATAACAAGACTTGTTTAAAACAGGTTTGTGGAGAAGATGCTGATTTGTTCTGACAGCATTATTTATTTGCCTTTCTCCACTTTACTAGTTGAACATGACAAGAAAATAAGATAGCACTGTAAAAAGAGCATCAACGCTGGCTGACAAAGGGATGGATTTAGGTTATTTCCATTTACATGGTGTCACATTAAAATGCAGTCCACACAGTGAGAGACAAGTAGCCTTTGACTTCATTTGTTTCAATGAAACACAAATTTATCCTCACTGGTTTGTTTTCTTTTTTCCAAGTGTAGGTTTATGAACTTTATATCATCTTGATGCATAAAGCCACCAAATGAGTTTGTACACAGAAAAATACAAGCAGACTCTCAACAAGGGTCGAAAGTTCAGACAAGTCTGAATCGTATGATTCTCCTCACGGTTGGCAACAAAACAAAGGCAAAAAAAACCTGCACTGTCAGTTCCTGAGCAGAAAAATCATATCAGTCTGTCAACTTCAGAGTCTGCTCTGATGTTTACATTTGAAGTCTAGAGAAAACCCGGATTTGAAAGATGATGTCTACATGAGTTTAAAATGGTCAGTAGTGAATGTGGATCCCCACCTGGGAATGGGAGAGCTGACAACAAATATTTCAGCCCTTACTGTCAGAGTCTCTGCCGCTTCCCCCTCCGCCTGAAGCAGCATCATTTCTCATGCTTGTTTAACCTAGAATGATCTTCTAAATGCCGTTTTAGCAGCTGTTTCACACAGAGTTTGAACAGAGAGTGAGCGCACGGGAGCTGGAAAATTGGTTGCTTAGCAACCGTCCATCATCCGCAGGAAAACTTTACAATGTAAAGAATACAGCCGTCAACTCTGAAGAAAACATAATCCATCGAAACATCAGATCTGTTTGTTTTGCATGTATTAAAGTACTAAGGACCAGTTTGCTCCAGCCATACTTTATCCTCTACATTTGCTGTCCCATGGGCTGTCGGAGCACCTGATGTCCTCTGGATGATGCACGACCTGCTCTTCTATTACAAAAACAACAATATTTCTCATTTGATACATTATTTAATGGAAATTATAACTTTATTATGGAAATCAAGGAGACAGAACAATAGGAAAAGCCAGGAAGCCAGGACAACATGAGATCCATCTAACTTAAGGTATTACATATCAAATATGAAAACAGTCAAAATGACTGCCTTGGGAGTTCTAGTGGTAAAGTACCGACATGCAACTTTAAATGAACTAGAAGCTGATGGCAGTATTATCTTGGGGATGGTGCAGAACTCAAAGCCCTCTTAGAGTATTTGATTTAATAAAGATTTACTGGCACAACACCAAAAACTACAATTGTTTCATTAATCTGTGTCTGTTTACTTGCCACCTGCCGTTTATACTGATGCTGCATTTTACAGTTTTTGACAACACTTAAAAAGTAGAAAGTTAAACCTGGAAAAGTTTTGGAAAGAATTGTGTGTAACATGCAACTTTTCTCACCCAAAAAGAGCTAGATGAAAATAAAATAAAATCCCAAAGAATGAGATGAAGAGCTGCTCAGAAGACTCTCCATGATGTAAGAAAACAGGTTTAGGGTAACCAGAATCCCACCCTGGAGCAAGGCCTAGGGTTAGGGCCTATGTGCAAGCACCTGGCGGCTAGGGGTTTGCCCATGAGACTAGCCAGGTCTAGCTCAAACAGGTTAAATGGGCCTATCCAGCTGTGGATCCACCCCCTGCAAGAGGAATGGTGCTTTTCATTTTGGTTCAGGAGGCACACTAAATCTGAGGCTTTGGCTCCATGATCCATGATATCTAAAACTTTTATCTTAGACATTGAATGTTACCTCTGGTAGGGAAAGAGCTGGAGCTTATGGGAGAGGTTACGTGTTACCATCTGGATATACTGTAAATCCTCTAATACAGACCCCGGCCTGTATTTGACTCAAGCTCATCAAGCTCCAGGCCTTTATTGGAAGGAGGACCAGAATTAGAGGCAGGCCTCAATTTCTATTTGAGCAAAATGAACTAATGGTTCGCTGGAGTTTTTGACAATTAAAATTGCGCCCACATTTTCAAAGTTAAACACATTTCTTTTAACAACGGTAGTTTC